TATATATATACACATGCCTTTTCTTCCATGGGTCTACGATTGGTGACATCACAGGTCCTCTTCATGTATGTCCCAGAGGTTGGCAGGTCCACAGTGCTGTAGACAGTGTTTACATGTGATGATGTGATGTGACTCAACATGGAAGAGAACTAAAGCTGGATGATGGGAATGGTGAGTCTGCAGGTGAAAGCACCAGACAGCGGGTGAGTATTCCAGCAAAGGCCGCATTCTTTATTCTAACAAGACCCGGGCTTTTTATATCTCAAAGGCGGAGTTAGTCTTTAACACTGTCCGTATGTCTCAGAATTACTCTAAATATGATAGATTAGATCCACAACATTTCACTATTACTCTGGAGTCCAGTGTCTTATTTCCACTAGTTCCTAATGGTTAAAAGTAGATGTTGATATACACTGAGTGGCCAGATTATTATGACCCCCCCCATCAGTACTTAGTTGGGCCGCCTGGTGACTCCACGAGATGATGAAAGGTGATACACTCGGTGTATCTTCGGATAAATCTGTATTTGAAATCTGTGACGATATGTTGCTCAGATATTTCATCTCTCATCCCCAGCAATGCTGACCAGCTCCAGGGAAGGAGACCTCAGTGAGCACGATATGGGAAGCAGTATAAAGAAAATGTCAAAACAAAAAGGTAGGCAGTGCAATTTACCTTCTCCGCATACACACTGCAATATGCTGTTATTGACAGGTGGGGCTATTAAAGATGTATCTGCACATCCCGGAACAAGTCACTGCAGTGCCCAGAACTGATGTGACAAGCCACCGAGAAACTCCACGATGGGTGCAAAATAAACATATGATTCCCTTCTCTCCACGGGAGAGAGAAACGAGGAAGGCCGGCTGTAGACGTTGGTCACATTCTTGTTCTGTAAAGTTGAAGACATTTTGTAGTTTTTTACAATGCACTTCAGTTCTGATAAGTATCGGGAAGATACCCCAACATTTATATCCACATAGGTAGCACAGACTCCTTAAAAAATCACCATGGAATGTGTAGATGTGGAGTTGCCAAGTATTGATGTTAAAATACATTCTATGTGGAAGACAGATGGTGTTGAAGGTCTCCACCCCGGTTCAGGGACAGTTGTTCCAGTTGTAGATGGACTATTTCACGCCTCTTGGGAATCAGCTGGCCTCTCTGTCTTCTGCATATACCCCTCTTGTAACATCTCTACCCTGGCAATTTAATAACTATTCACACCTTTAGCCATGTGACTAGAAGGGTTCATTACACCAAGGATGGGATTATGTGACTAAAATAGAGGAGTTCCTCAACCATCACACCTCCCATCCTGTTCTTGGACAATCCTCATTTGCCGTGACACATTTCATGGTGGTTGGATGAAGGAGCCTGTGCTATCTATGTGGATAGAAATGATGGGGTATGTTACTGGTATGGTGGGGGGGGGGGGGGGGGGTGGATATGGTGGTCAGCATAAATGTTGGGGGTATGTTCATGGTATAGTGGGGGCATAAATGCTGGGGTATTTTCCTGGTATGGTGGGGTGTACATGTTGGGGTATGTTCCTGGTATGGTGGAGATATAAATACTAGGGTATGTTCCCGGTATGGTGGGGTGTACATGCTGGGGTATGTTCCTGGTATGGTGGGGTGTACATGCTGGGGTATGTTCCTAATATGGTGGGGTGTACATGCTGGGGTATGTTCCTGGTATGGTGGAGATATAAATACTGGGGTATGTTCCTTGTATGGTGGGGTGTACATGCTGGGGTATGTTCCTGGTATGGTGGAGATATAAATACTAGGGTATGTTCCCGGTATGGTGGGGTGTACATGCTGGGGTATGTTCCTGGTATGGTGGGGGAATACAGTAAATGCTGGGGTATGTTCCTGGTATGGTGGAGATATAAATACTAGGGTATGTTCCCGGTATGGTGGGATGTACATGCTGGGGTATGTTCCCGGTATGGTGGGGTGTACATGCTGGGGTATGTTCCTGGTATGGTGGTCAGCATAAATGTTGGGGGTATGTTCATGGTATAGTGGGGGCATAAATGCTGGGGTATTTTCCTGGTATGGTGGGGTGTACATGCTGGGGTATGTTCCTGGTATGGTGGAGATATAAATACTAGGGTATGTTCCCGGTATGATGGGGTGTACATGCTGGGGTATGTTCCTGGTATGGTGGGGTGTACATGCAGGGGTATGTTCCTGGTATGGTGGAGATATAAGTACTAGGGTATGTTCCCGGTATGGTGGGGTGTACATGCTGGGGTATGTTCCTGGTATGGTGGGGTGTACATGCTGGGGTATGTTCCCGGTATGGTGGAGATATAAATACTGGGGTATGTTCCTCACACTCATTACAGCTGAAAAATGTCTGCAGTATTTTTCTGCCGTAACCTGAACGGACTGCGCACGTGAGAACTGTAGCCTATAAAACACATAGGGATACATTGGGATACATTGGGATGCAGGAGCCTACGGATCAGGTCAGCACACAAAACGGACGTCATGTGAACAGGCCCCAATAAGCAGAGAATTGCTCCAGCAAAGAGATTTTGCTGCACCAAATTTTGGCAAAATTAGAGTCAATGGGAAAGGTGAAATTAAGGGTTTTTTGGTGGTTTTGAAGGCTTCAATGGGCTGTAAATGGTTTCTAAGGGCTGCATGGTCAGGATGAAAAAAGACACAAGTCCATCGCATTCAAAAAATCTAAAAGAATAAATAGAAACATTCTTCATAAACAGAACTCTGCGTCTACAATTGATCCAGAGGAAGGCAAAAAAACCCTACAAAGCATGGTTCAATTTTCTCTAATTGGGGGGAAAAAATCCTTCCTTAGTCAACTCAAGCTCCTTTCCACTTTATTTATTTATTTTTACTTTTTTTTTGGTATATAATATTGTACCATGCTGAAAAATATCAGAAAACTATCAAATGCACCAAAAAAAGAAATAAATATACAGATTGTGTACAGTCAGATTTGGACAAAGTTTGGCCAGAGCAAAATTGTTCAATGTTGCTGATGACTCATCACGTAGCTGGAAGGATACCGGTGCAAGAGGAGGTCTCTCTTGTGTCTGGCGTCCTGCACCCCCTGGAGGTGGAGACAGAGTGCAGGAGGACAGCGAGAAGCACGAGTGCCAATAGGGAGACCGGGCACTGTGCTGGACATGTCCAGAAGCAGAGTAGTCAACGTGGCCGGGCAGGCAGCGTGGTGGGAGAATCGTGAGGCAGCAGTGCGGTCGAGGAAGCCGAGGTCAGAACCAGCCGGGTAGTGTGGTACAAAAACGACAGGCAACGGGAAGTCCAGGAGGTCAAAGGGCAGGCAGAGAGAGAGAGTCAAACAATCCAGGTCAAAGAACAGGGCAATAGGTTCAGGGTACAAGCTGAAGACCATCAGCATCGACGCAAGAGGCAGGCTTGCTTATATAGGGCAACCCATAAGGATGAGCTGTCACTTCATGTGCGTCGGCCGTGTGCGCGTCTTCCTGCGCACTCCCGGTTGTGCATGCATGCGCACCAGAGCGTGTTTTCCGGAATGTAGGTTTTCGCGCATGCGCGGCTGCCATCTTTTCCTTACACGCACCCTCTAAATAAAGAGAAAAAGCACACCAACCCGATGAATAACCCCAAACTTTAATTTGTACACAAAGTCATGTGATTACCACGTCAGCATTAAAGGCCGATTTTGATCACATTTCTTGAATGCAAAATTGGTAACTTTGGGGCAAAATCTCTCCGCTCATGCCTAGTTGAGGTCCATGAGCAGGCCCGGATTCCCCACAAGGCCACCGAGGCCCGGCCTCGGGGCGGTAGGGCGCAGAGGGGCGGCAGCGTCTGTTGAGTCCCCCGACGCCCGGAACATGCAGTTCTGGGCGCCGGGCGGTAAGTTGCTTTCTACATTTAGCCCAGCTTTGGGAAAGCGGGGCTAAATGTAGCGTGAGGAAGCCGGTGCTTGTTCGTTTGCCCCACCCTGCCCTTACCTCTCTCCTCGCTGGCTCCGTCCTCCAGGCTCCGCCGCCAAGTCTGTCTCCTCACTGACAACCGATGCGGCGAGCAGGGCGGCAGGGTTAAAAGTAACCCTGCCGCTCCGCGCACACAGTGAGAGGGGAGAGCTGTTCTCTTCCTCTCTCACCTGTCACAGGAGTCCCAGCACAGCGCTGCGCTAGAACTCCTGTATTGGAGGCGACAGGGTCAATAAAGAGAACCCGTCACCTCCAAATGCTGTTGCACAGGGGATTGTTAGCTTCTGTGTGATAGCAATAAAGTTAAGTGGGGAAAAAAATGATTAAAAAATTAATTAAATAAATATAAGTAGAAACTAAAAAAAGAAGAAAATAATTATAAAAAAATAAACAATAATAAGATAAAACATTCTAAAAAATAAAAATGCAAACAATAAGATAAATGAAAAAAGGTAAAATAAAAAATATAAAAAAGTGATAATAAATGTTAAAAAAGAAACAATAACAAAAATTAAAACTAACCCTGCCGCCCCCTGCCATCCGGTTGCCATTCTCCATTGATGTGTGTGTGTGGGGGAAGGGGGAGGTTGCAGGGAGGAGGGGGCATTGCGGAACCTGGCCTTGGGGCCGCAGGGAGAGTAAATCCGGCCCTGTCCATGAACTGTGTGAGTCTCTGCAGACCGATCACATTGCACACATTTAACCAGAACCACCCTACAAAAAACATCTGCAGGTTTGTCTTATTTGTGAATCAATTGACTCGTCGCCATGTCGACGACCCCACATGAGAATATTTCGGATGAAGATGTAACTTATAAATCTGCGGAATTCTCCATAACACAGATTCCATTACTTCTGATGGATACGACTCGCTCTGTCCTTGTATGCGCGGCTCTGTTTAGGAGTAGCGGTCCTGCGGCTTTCCTTCTCGCCCCCCCTGAGCACAGATCCCGGCGCGCTCCGTGTACTGCTCAAGGTGAAGATGCAATGCTGCCGGTGGAGGACATTATTATGCAGCGCACACACAGCGGTATTGACTCGCTTTCATTGAGGTTAGGCGTGCGGTCGGCCTCTGCTGGGTAAACGGGCGATCTTTACATGATACAGGCGCGTCAGCAGTTTTTGGCTGAGACGTGAGCTACGTTCCGTGCGTGTCATTCCGACATATATCAGATTAGAAGCAGATAACGGCCCCCTGACTCTTCTCTCAATCTCCGATCTGCGTGCAGCGACTGCGAAAGTACCGAAGGCAGAGGATTAGAATGACAGCCCGGCAACACACATTTTGCAGTGGAATCCGCCATATTTCTTTCGGTAAGTATTTTACCCCCATGCAGCTCCAGGGAAACAGTCAAGCACATGATAGAATTACATATTTGGCTGCTTTACCTGCTGAACAATTTGTTCTTCTGTTCAGCAAGTCCTGAGATTTACACAGACAGCTCTTGTTGGTCATGTTGGGTGACCTGACTTCTCTCTGTTGCACTTAAGAAATACAGCCAGGGCCGGATCTACTCTCCCTGCTGCCCCAAGGCCAGGTTCCACAATGCGCCCCCCTCCCCGCTAATGTCCCCCAACCGCCCCCC